AATAAAAATCTAATTTTATATTAGTAAAAATTAAATTCCTTTTGAAACAAGTTGGTTTTTAAATTTTTAAAATCAAACAAAATACGTGTTTTATGTAAAGAGAAGTATTTTTTTATTTCTATAAAAAATATATTTAAAAAATACAAAAATTCGCAGGTAATAATAAAATTATCATTACACAGAGAACGTCAGATTCTAAAAAATTGGACGGATACAAATCTTGATTTTCTTAATATAATTATTCTTCTTTCACAAACATTTTATTTGTTCTTCTTCATTTTGTGTCGTGAAGTATATTTTTATTCAACTTGCAAAATCTAGAAATCATTGCCCACATTGTTACATCTATTATTGTTTGTGTGAACGTATGACATATTTTCAAGATATCAATGAATGAATGAATGAATGAAGAACAAAATATTTTATTAATTTTCATGACACATACTGTCGTTTGGATTTGAGTGAACGGAGATTCCTTACTTTATATATAAAAAGGTAATATATAAAAGATATATGGAATTATGTTCTTAAGATATAATCACAGTATCTTAAAACGAAAAACTCACGTTACTCTGCGTGTGCATGTTCAAGCAATCTTTTTAAGGAATTCTTGTAGAAAATTCAAATCTAAAGCATTATTTTCAAATATATATGTAGTCGGCACATATATTTTACATTAAACTAGATTCTAATCGAATCTAAATTCTTTAATACTGATGTAATGCGATATCTACTTGATTCAGGCCATAAAAACTGAGAATATGCCTTTTCTTCCCATTCCCGATCAGAAGACAATAGCGCGTGTTGCAGCTTACAAATACGCGAACCATATTTCAAAATTATTATTACGCAAACAACGAAAAGCGTTAAACAAGTGGTTGCTGGTCAAAAAATGTGCAGTCCCATCTTGATACGCTTTTCTATTCAAGTAGAAAATATATAGTTCAGAAATGCATAATTTTCTCTCGCGCACATTTGCTATTTTTCAACTTTGGCTGTTATAATAGAACAGTTTGTATGATTGTAAAACAATGTTCTTCGATGGAGATACTCTTAAGAATTTATGAATTTGTATACATGCATAATATCAATACCAATATCTAAATTTCATTTTCACATTTTTGCAACTCCATATATTCCTGTGATGTGATTTCATATGGCTTTGAAACTTCTTGCTTCTTTTGTGCCTTAAGATGTCCCGGTTCTGCTCACTGAAGTCCAAAGGTGGTATTTTATATGGTAATACTGTCCACAATGGTTGAAGTCATTTATTAGCTAGTTACATAGAAAGAACAAAAAATTAGAAGATCGATCAGAGGTCTCAAAGTAAATAAAATATTTCATGAAATTTACCAGTATACTTTGCGAATAATCTGTAATGGGAATACCAACAAAATGCAATGTTTAAGATGCATATGAATGCAAATATCAGGTAACATAAAAATGGAGTAAAATCACCATATTCGTGTTTCACAAAGAATGGATTCTTGAGATAATCTTCTTGCTCGTCTAAAATGAACATGTTATAAATTTTAAACTGAAATCTTTCTGAAAAAGAATTTTCTCTTCGTTGCTTAAACTTTCATCAAAAAGACATGTTTTTTCTTAATTACATGTAACATCATTTGAAATCCAAAAATAATTTGTCAGTCAATAAAATGGATACGTATTTTTCAAGAGTACATATTTAAAATATGTGTAAATTTTATATTTTTATGATTTAAGATCTCCATCTTTCCGAGATATGTAGATCTCGTCTCTACTTAAAATAGCGAAGGTGTGGGACAAAATTAACATTATGAAATTGGAATTAGTTTAAATAGTTATATACGTATACTTGTTTATCATTGATATTACTAAGTATATCGTATTCAAAATAATAACTTTGTTAACAAAATACAATAATATAACTTATTTTCAGATAAATTCGTAAGAAAAGAAATCGGGGGAATCTTAATTTGGATAAATTAAAGTAACATTAATGTCACACAATACATAGCTTCAAACAGTTCTTTTGCTACTCATTCCTCTACCGATTGTTAATTAATTCTTTCATCAATTAATAACATACGTAACATAACAGTTTTAACGGCATTGATAGAACATCGAGTACACCTATCATTCATGTAAGTCCATTAGAATCTGTTACTGTTACATCAAGTTATATTTGAGCGGGACATTGTATTGTGTACAGTAAAAGAAATGAATGCTTTATGCAGCATTCGTATGGAGCGATAAGCGATAAAATGACGGTATTCCCAACTTGTAAATACTCTAACAATTCTAATTGTATGAAAGATTGATTAAGAAGGCTACGTTTTACTACAATAAAAATTTATTTTATTTGCCTATATTAATCAATTGTTACATTCCGTGTTTCGTTGCCACTATGCACATATTTTCTAGAGATATATTAGTAGTGGTGTAATAAATCAGATCGCTTCGAAATCCAACTTTCTTTAAATACTCCAAACGACCCCAATTCAATAATGATTTTACTTTCCGACCGATCTTTTCCCTTTCATTTGAACTTAAACTTTTTACGTCCGTTCTGAAAAATATAATATTCTCTCGATTTCCTATGATTAAAAAAAAATTTCTTTAAAATATTACATACTTCGTCTGTTCTGAGTTATTTTGAGTTTTTGAAGTATTAGCTGCCTTATTTAAACTAAATCCGCAAGTCGCCCAGCTGGCGATACTACACAAAACTGTAAATTCATTTGGCGTAAATCCACACCGTTCCAAGTATTCTTTTCCAACGTACGATGCGTATTCACATCTATGATGACAACAGAATGCAATAATTATACCAGTGACATTGCATTTAGGTTCACTTTGAATTGCTTGAACTATGCAACTTAGAGTTAAATCTGCAAAATAACAATCTTTCTTAAGTAACTTTTATATAAATACTATGTGATTTTTATGACAAATTACGAGAAATATATAAAGGAAAGCTACATACCTGTAGCTACTCCACATAAGTGTTTTGCAATGCCAACTTTATGTTTAAACCTCTGAATTTCTGTCACATCATTCAGCTTCAAATCGGCGATGTCGGCACGTATTCTTTCCACCAGAAGCAGAGACTGTTCATTTCTTAATTTATTATCATTCTTATGCCTGTGACTCGAACGATCTACTAATAAAATACAACAGTCTTTCTTGCATTTTATCATTTGGCCCAACCAATATGTTAGTTTCCCCTTTCCTGCCCCAAATTCAATGAAACATGTATCATCTTTCACAAGATTTGCACGTTCCAAATGTGACAGCAATGATGAATTTTGCAGGAGATGTTTCTTGGTAGATTTCCCGCAAGAGTTGTCATTTATCTTATCCTTAAGTATTTGATGCTCCAATACTATTTCAGGAAATTGGGGTAACGTTTCTGTAAAAAGGCAGAGGATTAAAGTATGTTTTCAGTTCAAATTTCAATCTGTATCTTTAAATTTAAATATACGAATTGCCAACCGTAAACAGCTTTCACTTTGTCTATAACTGCATTTATCATTCGATCATTAAATTTCGAAAGAGGCACGGGCTGTGGTGCTTCGCGCGTCTCGTTAGCATTAATTCCTTTTACGATGAACGATGGTCGTGCATCGTTCAAACGTTTTGCATTGCACACCCTTAGGTGTTTTGCCAGCTTAGACTCGTAACACGTACTGGAAACGATCTATAAATTGTATGTATATAGAAAAATATGAAATACTTATCAATAATAAACACGCACTTACTGAGTCGGATCAAGTGGACATTTTATTCGTTTATTTTCAAGTGCTTCTTTGTCAGAACAATTCAATTCGGACGAGACGTTTTGATGTTCGCCGCAGTATTTTTTTCCTTTCTTCACTGTCATTCGACAATAACGTCTCTTTCTTCTCACAAAATACATGCAGTGATTTTCCTCTGCCATTGTATATATTCCAAAGATATGGATTAATAGGATAGACCCGACATCTTTTCGTGTCCCACGTTTCAGGGATCCTTATCATTTTCGTGTCACATCCTGTCATATCGACTTAGCCAAGCACTGCACCACAGCGCTATTGGCGATAGAAATTAAAATCAAAAAATGTAGATAATGTTGCTGTTTCCTCATCGAAAATTATCTCATCGAAAAAAATAGATTTAGAGAATAATTTTGTATGATAAATTATATGATTGACGTATATTCGAAGGAGTTGCGGTTCGTCCAACTTGTTCGAGAGCTCACATTTGAATTACCCTTTCAATCTCTCTTACTAACCATCGTTTTGTTTGACCATAGACAAGGTATAAGAATAGACCAAGCACCCAATATATTTTTTCGGGACACCTGATGCCCCGTTACCATTTTCGTGTCACATCCTGTCGTACCGATTCAGCACCGCGAAAATCAAAAAAATATGGACAGTGTTGTCGGATTTGTTTCGAGAATTATTCATTGAATTGAACTTAATAGTAATTCATCAATGAAGGAATAAGTGTTCTTCATCAATGTTCTTCATCAGCGAAGAAAAGTGTTTTTGAAGGTATTGACAAAGACTGTCCACGTGGGTTAAGCAGCGAAGAAAGTCATAAGTTGAACCCTCGTCGTGTGCATATCGATTAAACTTTCAAAGTGAATTTTTAAATATTATTTCTGAATATTCTAATTGTTTAAACATTATCTAATATTTCTAATAATTTACTTGCAACAATTAAACGATAAATTCTCTTCACTAATGTTTCAAAGTGTTACTTAAAATTTTTAACTGATAATTTATAACAATCTTGAACAATGAATACTTAAGAGAAATGACTTTGAATTATTGAATGAAATAATGAATTTAATTGT